GCGTGGGTGGCCGGCGGCCAGCGCCGGACGTCCGTGTGTGCACAGGAGGAGCCGAACAAGGGCTGGCACCTGCTCCCCTCCGGCCCTCCGAGCACGCTGGAACGATAACATTTGCTTCATGTGTCTGGCCCAGAATGTGACACGTCTCTGCTCGGCCTCCCTCTGCTCCCCTTGCCAGCGCCAGCCCGTGGGGGCTCCGCTCCCGCCGGTGTTTGTACAGTAGGAATGAATTTGGCTCCTGTTCGCAGCACGGCTGGGACACAGCTGTATGTGGCCTGTCTCTCTCTGGTTGCACAGGTCCGGCCGAGGGTAGAACTGGCTTGGCTTATATGAAGAGCCTGGCTTGTTTGGCTTGGTTGTGTTTGGCTTGGTTGTGTTTGGCTTGGTTGTGCTGAAGTGGAAAATTGAGAGGAGGAGAAACAATCTGAAAAATTAACTTAGCACAAGGTCTGTGCACAGCTGCTCCTTGGTCAAGGGGGCCAAGGGTATGGGACTATCAGAGCATGTGGCCCTAAGAGAAATGTTTTGTGCCAACCCAGAGCAGGCTCTGCACCCTGCGCCTTTGATTGTCCAGCTGTGGAAACGTGGCTGCAGAACTGCAGTGAAATCTGCTCTCATTCACTCTGATGTATGTGCATATTGGACAGCCAGACAGGGCTGAAAGGCAAGGAGACTTGGGGGTGTCTGTGGGGTACAGCAGAAGTGCCACAGAAGCAGGAGAGACATCCCCAGATCTTTCCTTTGGACCCTCGTCCTGCGGAAGCGGCTCCGGTTCACGGGGCGCCCCAGTTAGCAAGCAGGACAGGAGCCTGCAGAGCTGCTCGTGCAGAGCAGCTGGACCTGCTGGTCCCCTGCCGCAGCGTTGTTGCGGTCCCGTCCCCGCTGGGCAGCTGCCCACAGAGGGGACACCCTGGTGCTGTGCGTTTCGGTGCGTGTGTTACGCGACGGCAGAGCTGGGGCTGGGGCTGCTCAGGGCTAACATCTCTCTCTGATTTCAGGAACTGCCCTTCACCTTTTAAAAGAAAGAAGGAAAAGCAAGGTAAGGATACGTAAAACTGCTTTAGGGAACAAGCGCAGGGGGAACAGCTTACGCCTGGTTAGCTGGCATTAGTCAGTGCTGAGTGCGAGCTGCATCCCGGAGGCCGAGTTCCCCTCCCAAACTCTTTTGTACCTTACTTTCCTGGAGAGAAGTTTGACTGAGGCAAGAGGCAAGGTTTCTTTAAAACTTAAAAGAAAGGGTGTGATGTGCCATGAGACTGGCGAGGGGGAGGGAAAGGACTTCAGCATTTTCCTTAAAATGCCTAAGTCTCTCACCAAAAAGCATGTGAGCAAGGCAGAAACTGCATCACGCTCCAGCGAGAGCCGCCAACACTCCTCTGACATCAGCCCCCTGGCCACCAAGTGCGTTCGCTAAGTGGCCCACTTGTGTCCTGTGGCCTTTGGACCAAGCTTGGCAAAACATGTTTGCCAGACAGCAAAGGAAATAACAAAGTTAAAACTGGATCTGACTTCTCCAAGGGCCTGACAAGGAAGCTGTCTGTGCTGTGTACATCCTCCTGGGTTCTGCCAAGAACATTGCGGTCCACAGCATGTTGTCATCTCGGGAAACCTTATTTTTTTTTACCAAAGAAACAAGCCCAGGCTTTCTTCTCAGAGGCAAGCCTCAAAGTCAGGATTAGGGTGAGGATGTCAGATGGGCCAGAAATTTGATATGTTTCCAGGGGGGAGAGCCCATGTGCCAGACGCTGCATTTCTGCGTTCAAAGACGGAACAATAAACAGTTGTGTTAACCTGATCCTCTGGTCTTTGTTTTTCAGGAGCCAGAGTGAGACATGACAGCCAACAGCACCAGCATGGCAGGAAGGTAAACAGCTTCCTAGGGGTTTTTTGCAAACTGGTCACTGCAAGGACAGGGCTGACCATCACTTCCTAGGCTAGATGCCTTGGGAGGACACGAGGCAGCTTATTTAGAGCCCAGTCGTGTCATTCAGTGTAGGCTGGGACGGTTGTGGGAACAACGTGCATTGCTGCACAGTGGCGTGGGCTCTCATCCTTTCCGCCCGGCTGGAGCAGTAGGACGCTGCTAACACAGTTAGCCTGAGCCGCCGGGAGCTGGATGCTGCTGGGGGGGGTGTGCAGGGCATCTGCCCCGGGAGCGGGGGAAGCCAGCTGCAGCAGCAGCAGCCGCGGGAGCTGACTGTCCAGAGCTCTTTCTCCCTATAAAGGCTCCGATGTACGAAGATGTCCCAGAGCTTCCTGTCTATGCCACCGTGAATAAGCCCAAGAGTGTGAAGCAGGACGAAAGCATTCATTACGCGGACATCCAGGTGTTCACCAAGGCCCGGGAGCGCTCTGCAGAGGAGGTGAAGAACTTGCAAATGCAGAATGCCACAGAGTACGCCACCCTCAACTTCCCCAGGCCCAGGCTGAAATACGATAGCAAGAACGGGACCCTGGTGTAAGAAGCTTGATGGCCCCCTTCTCCTTCAGCAGCGAAAGAATTTCACAGGTTTAGAGATACTGTAGACCCAAGCTGGGCTCGCGGACAGATCACGTCTCCCTGAGAAGGTGCAGAGGGGCTGTGTCTTCCACCTGCATTTGGCTTTGGAGGACACAGAAATAATTATCTTCACATGAGAAGTAGTCTCCTGTCTGGTTCTGCTGGCAAAAGACACCTCTCCTCTTTGGAAAACCTGGGTCACTTCTGAAGCTAGCAGCCCATCTGCTCTGGGGCCCGTGAGAAAGCAGAACTGCTCCGCAGTTGATGAAGGCTAAAGGTGCAGCCCAGAGCTGCAGGGAGAAGGTTTCTGCTGTAGCTGAGGTTTCCCTGAGTGCTGCTCGGCAGGAAGACTTAGGAACACAGCAAACAGGATTAGATCCTGGGATTAGAGAGATGCTGCCACTGGATTTTATTGTCAATGCTAACAGAAATCGGCAACGTGCTATAGAAAATGAGGTGTGGATGATACCGCGAGGAAATGGCGTGCAACCTCTAACAGTTTCTGCCACAATGTCTTCCTCCAACACCAGCCGCTGCACACTGCAGGCCTCAAGCGCTAGCTGCACCCGCTTTGCTCCAAGAACAGTGCGTTGTGGCCACGCACAGCACTCAGACAAAGGTCGGAAACGCAGCACCAGCTGCAGGGTACAGAGCAACTGCTTTTGCTGGAGGGCTGTACAGAGAGGCATCCTTACCCTAGCATGTGTGGTAGTGAGCAGCAATTCTCTAATTGGGAATGAAACAAGGAAAATTCACAATTTGCCTTTAAGGCAGCCATTTAAAAGCCATTGTCAGCATTTAGGGGTAGTTATCCAGTCCTTAGAGTACAGTAGCTGTTTGCATGCCTGTGCCACTGGGAATGAATCCTGGCCAACTCAGCGAGGGCTTTGGAGTTTTTCTCCACTTTTTTCTTCCTCTTTTGTATTAGCAGCTTTAGTTATAAAGCCCTGCAACACAGAGCTCATGCCATGTATTTTTTCCTGCTAACCCTCCCAGATACACATCTGGGAATCTACTTATGGATTTAAAATAGCATTAGTAATGCAGTCTAGCAACCTTCCAAAAGGCTTCTGCCACGAGACTGAATATTTTAACATTGGCAGCTGAACAGGGCTCCCCAGCCGTATCTTCAGACGCTAAATCAATGCTCGGCACATTCTGCTCCTAATTGATGGTCTCGATAGCTAAATGCAGAACGACCTGTTTATTGCCAATGTTTAAAAATGGGCATCCTGCTACATTTTATAAACGTACATCATTTTGCATATTATGGCTGAGCTGCATGTAAAAAGCAGGAGGCAGTTCCTGCTCACTAGGAACAGTAAAGGCGGCGCAGGCAGCGTTTGCTAGCGTGGAAGCGCTCTGAGGACCAAGCTCACCGTTCTTCTACCCGAACAGCTCTTTCCGCCCATGCTATCCAGCAGACCTCCATGGGGCTACCGTTAAGGCTAGGGTAAGGTTTGCAGGATAAGGTCCTTTATTTATAATAGACACAGTATTATGTTACTGGTAGGGCTAGTTCTCCCGAGTGCCAAGGATTCCTCTTCCTGCTCCTCCAAATCCCTGCCCGCGCTGCATGCCCAGCGGGACGGCCTGTCCTTTGGGCTGCGCAGGGCCGAAGGGGCACAGCCTTTAATGTTGCGAGCGGGTGTCGGAGAGGCACGGCGCTCCCCTCTGCGCGCTCAGTCCTGCTGGCCCGGCTGTCCGAGGCGGAGCTGGGCACGCAGACCCAGGCCCGGCTCGAGGCGGGCCTCCTTCCTCTGAACTGGAAAGGGGCACCGGTTCCGGGTCTAGTCCAGCTTTCCTCAGCGTAGGAAGAAACAGGTTTATGCCACTGGGTTTTTTAGGTATGTTATTAACCATTGATTA